ATCTGAGAAAATCATCTGCACCATGTCTACTGTAATAACTTCTTCCTAAAAATGAAAGGAGGATTTCTTACATCTAGTACTATGCACATTAACAGACAACATTCTAAACACACTCTAAAGTATTACCTCTGGAATAGGTACAGTGGAGCTGACATCAGGATCCTGAATTGGACTTTCTACCATAGATTCTTCATTTCCCGGTAGAGAAACATTTCTGCGTTTAAACAACTAAACAAAGAAGAAATTTTGGGAGTCATCAGTACCCACTCTATGGTAAGTTTTAATGACATACACCTGAAGAAATGCTTTTACCAATACTAGTCAAAGTATTTCATTTACTCACCTTCCCACTCATCCATGCAAATGGAATTCTACATGAAAGTTTAAAGAGCATAAAAGAGAAAAACACTACTATATCTGTATCTTGATAAACAGCACGAGAGACACTTAAAAATTGAGATTCTTTTTAATTAGCAAAGATCCATATATTTATTCCACATGTAAGAAAAAGATACAGATATTTGTGCTTTTAGTCTTTTATCCCTCATAATTAGCATTTATTTTTAAGCAGGAGACAGTATCCTACAACTTACTTTCTCTGTTTTTAGTTTATAAGTTAAAATCATCAACACAGAGCCAACATTTGTATTTCAGCACACTGCATTCCTCCCTGCAACAGAAGGTCTAAGATCTATGTGCTTTCTCTGAATGGCAATTAAACAGTGCCTATATTTCAGGTACAATTGCAGAAAGATTAAAACAAAACCAGTATTTTAATATAGTTGGAGAAAAAAGCAGCGTAGCTTCAAGGTGAATTTTTAAATTATGTTACATTAAACGTTCCCTATGTCCAAAAATTACAGTGCATGCAGCCAAAAATCCATTGGCTGCTTGGACTGCCTATGCTCAAAATACATACCTGCACTTTAGTATTTAATCAGCTATGTTTTATGAATGCCTCTTCACTTTCTGGCATACAAGCAAAATATTCACACTAGCCTGTTTTCTTCTAGACACCAAACCTAAATTTTTACAGTACTACATTTACAACTACTGTAATTAACAATTCCAAGAATATTAACACTGATATCTTTAAAAATAAATGTTAGAATCTCAGTCCCATTACCAAGATTTCACTGTAAGCACAATAAAGAAACCTCCTACTAAATCCTGAAGGTTTTGTCTTGTGGGTGTCTACAGACACCTAGATTTCTACTGTTGTACATACCCAAAACTGCAGAAGCAACTCCAGTTTACATCTACCCATATTTCAAATCAAGGCATTCTCTCCCTTCTTCAACACACTTTTGGACTGATCACAATCCTGGGCACAAAACAACTGCAGAATCCTGGACGTAACCAAGGTTTAATTCCATTTAAGCCCACAAAGGCAGAAGAAAAAAACACTCCTCTTCAGGAAGACCAGCCATTCTTTCTAGCATTCCAGTCATTCTTTCTAGCACTCAATAATGAGACAGCAGCTCTCGACTAACATGTATAAACTGTTATTGTTTAGGATAATGGTCTATCTACCAGTTATAATTTCTTCTGGAGCAAAAACAGTCTCATCTCGCTGCATAAATATGCTGTCCCCAGCTCAGGAAGAGTCAAAAAGCACCAGTCCAACGTAAGATCAAGGAGAACATAACACCATTCTCATTGTTACGACACTTAGCATGGGAGAGAAAACACCCATTATTTTCATAATTTACCTAGGGAGCATTTACTATAACCAAAACCTTCAGCTGTTACTCACTGCAGTTACCCATTCACAGGTAAATGTTCCAGTATCATATGACTTCTTACTCTTACCTCTCTGGCCTATCTAATTTAAGTTCTTTTCCATGCAGTAACACCACTTTCCCAGGAGAAGGGTATGCATTCCCACCTCAGAGAAGACTGTAGATCAGTGCTTGCGACACTCCCTAGGTTGCGGGAGACAAATTCAGTCACTTCAGACCAAAGAGAAAAACTACATTCCTTAATTTCCTGGCAAGAAACTACTAAACATTTGGGGTAAAAGAACTAACACTAACCACTGAATTACACAGTGCCCCATGTATTCCAATCACTAAAAATTCAATAAGGAGAACTGCAAATTATATATATCCAGGGATATATGTCCAGAGATCACTAACTGCCAGCCAACTTACTAAGTTACCGTGGAAAAGCTCCTGAGCATTTGAATTATGGCTTCAAAGATGAAAATAATTCTCAACCTTCTAACAATACAACTTTGGCCCAAACTCTGGAAGAGAATGTAAGGTTTTTGCTCCTTAGTGGAAAAAAAAGGTATCCTTTCAGACCAGTCTTACATGTATAAACCAAGACTAAGGATTAAATTTAAGACACAGCTCTCTCCTCTGTGTGCCCTAGTGACTTAAGTGCTCCTGTTGACTTTTCTGAGAGATTGCCTGGTGCTCCTCAAGACTGCACAGGAAACAGACAGTCAATCTGGTGCTCGGGATTCTGCTCAAATCCTTTCATGTGTCTGCATCCAGCTTCATAAGCACTTAACAGCTCACCAAGATACTCACTTGCTCTTCCCTTTTCTGTTTCCGAAGCTGGATTCCCTCCTCCTCTCTTCGTCTTCGCATTTCTTGGGGATTAAGTGCGTTATTCTTGTAGCTTTTCATTCTGAAATTATCTTTACCCGGGCTCGCCATGTTGTCTATTAAAAAAAACACCAACAAACAAATGTAAAAATTACTCCAAAACCTTGCAAGGCAAACATGGTATCTCTTTTAATACCAAAGTACCTACAGCAGCAGCTATATATTCCTGTAGCTGCTTGCAATACCCAGTTCATCAATAAAACCTCTTAAGGTAGAAATCAAGAGAAAAAGCTTTGCCTAGACAGGCATTTCTAAACTGCAGATTAAACTTCAGTTCATCTCACAGATCAGATTTTCCATTAAAGGGCATAATCCCCTGCAAAAAGAAATTATGGGTTTTATAAGCAAACTGAGAAACTAAAAGCAAAATTATGTTAATTTTTTATTGTCACAAGTAATTTGCTTCTTCCTCTCCTAAAGGAGACCTTAAATGTATTAGAAGATAAGGACAAATCAAAGAAGAAAACCTGCAGTAATTACTGCTTCATTTAATATACTACTGCATTGTTTCTTTTTTTTTTATGCTTATCTTGCAAACATAACAGAGGACGTAAAAGTTGTGCTTAATTTCCTTCTAAACTGTGCGCAGAAGAGCAAATTAAGGGCCAGTAGCACCAGATAAGCATATTCTTTCCCATTTTAAACTAATGGGATGATTGATTCATTCTAATTAACAGCTCTTTTGATAGATTAGAGGATTAGAAGCTGTCATTTCAGGCGTATCAGTTGGGAAAAGATAAAAGTGATAAAATATGATTCTGTCACAGAAAAGATCAAACTGACTGAAAAAGGCTGTTAATAGCATGGTGCTAGCTTTTAAAGCTAAGACTGTAACCTTCATCTGAGAAATAACTGTCAAAAATATGATTTAAAACTCTACAGGAACTCTTGTCTGGAATTCTTCCACAAGAAGAAAGCATCTGAACTACAGCTCCTGAAATGTACACAATTCTCTACAAACTTCCATGCTGGGACCTTTTTTTTTTCCTTCCCTTTTTTAATGTATCAGCAGTACCGCGGACTGCTGAGCAATAAACGTAAGCTGCGAGAGAAAAGGAATCCACAGATGTACTCTGATATCAACAAGACGCTCTGAGGACTCAGCAGCCTGTTTCACCCAAACCCATTTGCTTCGCAAGAAGCTTAGTAAACTACTGCCATCTCTGGTCCACGACGGTAAGTGTGCCACTGTCTAAAGCAATTTTCTCCTAGTTGTCATGTAACTTTTAAGGTACTATTTAAGATCATTTTCCCAATAACAGTACTGGCTTAACTAGTCCCAGAACATCATCACTTCCTTAATCACTCGCATTTTACCAGTTTAGCTGTGGAAGTAGAACTGTGAGGCCAAGCAATGAAACAAACAAGGTATGTGTGCACTCAAAGTCACCCAGTTTAGGTCTCCACCTCTATAAAGAGTTATAAAAGCTCAACCGGAAAGAAGCTTTCTTCAGAGCTGTATTCAATAAGAAAAGCTGATGATTTTATAGCTTCATTCTCCCCACAAGGATTTCGGTATAGACATCACAAGGACAAGAAGACTAGCAGCCCCTGATGCATTCAAGCTTCACGCCTTCTGCATCTAGATACAAGAAAGTTCACACTTCTCTGCAAATTACGCTCGTTTTAACACTAAATCCCTCCACCCACCACATCCTGCATCTCGTCCACTTGTGCCTAGACTTAAGTCTTATCCTACTAGCATTTCTTTCCTCCCTGCCTACACAAGGTTCCCTAAATGCCGCGCTGCACTGTACCAGCGTCCCTTCCCAGACTTGCAGCGCCGAGGGAGGCCAGGCACTTGCCTGCATGGCACCAGCCAAGTCAGACCGCAAGCCCCTCGCCGGACACCCACCCCAGCCACGAAAAGGGACTGGCGAAGAACTTCATCCACATCCTGCGAAGAGGGGGTGAAACCCCGCCAGCAGCAGGGCCGGAAAGCTGTGGCTTGGCAGCTCTGTACCTGAGAGAGCGGCGAACAGAGTGGAAAGACCCCGTCCCACCACCGACTGCCCCATCTGACTGGGACTGAGCTGCCGCGCTCGACAACGCCCCGCTGCTGCCTGCGAGAGACCGGCCTGCGCTGAAGAGCTTACAGCTAGAGGCACCGCACCCAGCCTCGGAAGAAATACAGCCCCCTACCCCTTCCCACCGGCTCTCAAGGCTCTTACCCATGGAAGCAGAGACGCCCGCCTGCTTCAAGCGAGCAAACCCTGCTCAGCTCAGCGCCGGCACCCGTTCGCAATTCAAGATGGCGTGCGCCACCCGCCGCGCTCCGCACAGGCCGGGAGGGCGGACCCATCCGTTCCCGGTATGCTCCGCGAGCAGGCCCCCGCCCCTAGGCAGAAAGGACGTGACGCAGTGCGGCTAGGTGTAGGGGATGTGATGTTGCTGTGTGGTTTGTGCGGGCGGGCGCTGTCTCCTGAGGAGGCGGCGGGGAATCGCTGCCGCCACCCCTGGCCAGCAAACCTCGACCTCCGTCTCTGCTGCGCCACCGGCGGCCCGCCGCGCTGCGAGGAGCGCCGCCGCCACACCGACACGGCGGAGCTGGGGTCGCCGGCAGCCCGCCGCCCGCCGTCCCCCGAGGGGCTGCCCGAATGCCCCTTCTGCGGGGAGGCAGCGGGACGGGAGCTGGAGGCGCACCTCTGGGCTCGGCACGGGCACGTGCTGGGGGACCTGGGCCCAGGTGAGCGGCGGCGGTTTGGGGATGGCGCCTGATTGCCGCGGAGGTTGGGGTTGTGCCAGGGCCTCACCGCCCGGGTGATCCCGCCGTGTTGGGGAGCTGCCTGAGTGTTCCTTCGGCCACGTTGTCGCCCTGGAGGATGTGGCTGGAGAATCCAGAGAGTGTTGCGGGTGCGGATTAGGGGCCTCGACTGAAGGCGGTCGGGAGAAGTCTCTTAGAACGTGATAGTGCGTGAAGGCAATGCAGGCGTCGCTCGAAAAATCTGCTCTAGAGCTGTAATGCTGACGAACCTGTAGTGTTCTGCGTTCCCAAAATATGCTGTCTGTATCAACGAAAGTAACTTGTAATGCTTTCATGTGATAGGGAGGTGGTTGTTACCTATTTGGCATATAACTTTGCTCACAAAAGTTTGACTTGTCCCTTGAAGTCTCATTCTAGACAGGATCATAGAATACCAGTTTGGAAGGGACATCAAGGATCATCTGGTCCAGCCTTTCTTGGCAAAACATGACCTAGAGTAGGTGTCCTAGCACCTTGTCTAGCTGAATCTTAAAAGTGTTAAGTGTTGGTCAATTCACTACTTTTCTGTGGAGATTATTCTGATGGCTGGTCTCATTGTGAAAAATTTTCCCGTAGATCCCATAGAGCAGTTGCAGGACGTGTTAGGGAAAGGTAGCTTTTGGTTTGAGGTAGGGACTTAGGAAAGCTCCAGCACTCATGTGTTATGAAGTGCTAAACACTGGTTTGGAGACCACAAGGATATTTTGGTGAATGAAGTTGGAGTAAAGAAAATCATTATTTATTTGAATACTGTATCTTATTCTAAGCATAGCTAGAATCTTATTCTAACTGTCCAAAGTTGGTAACTATTTAAGAAACTTATTTATCTTAGACTGTATCAATTAGGGGATGATTCTCAAAAACAAAAAAAAGACACAAAAAAAACAAAAAAGAAAACCTACCCTAGGAATTGCATTAATCAAGAAACTGTATTTCTTCTTGAAATGCAGGAAATGGTGAACAGCTTTACGAATGCCCAATGTGTAGTCTTACCTGTACAAACATTCAGATTCTTGAAGAACATGTGGATTTACACTTCGAGGAAAACAGCTTTTTGGAAGGTATGTGAAAGGATGCAGTCTTGTTAATACTTGAAAGCATTTACAAATATTTGCATGATATAGTATAGAATGTGGGACAAAAGTTAAACTAAATATTACCTTACGTAAAAAGAAACTGACACATATATGATGAAGTTAACATAGTTGATAGCAGTTCACTTGCCCAAGTTTCTACCTACTTATACGTGCTAAAAGAAACACTTGTCTGTGCATGGTTGTTAAATAAAGTCACTGTATGTTAGCCAAAAACTAAAACTCAAGAGTGAAGAATGTTTAAGACGGCCATATTATATTTTCTTCTAATTCTATAGAAGTTTTACATACACATAGTTTTACATAAACGGAATGTGGCACATTCCAGTGGGATGAGCTGCAAATCTGTAGCTTATGAAAACTTCATATATTTTTCCAATTTTTTCTCTAAATGATTGTGCTGATTCGTTAGGTATAGCAATAAGGAAAGGAATCAAAATTATTTATTAGCATGGCTGATAAAATGCTGCAGATTCCCTATCTGGTTCTCTGATCCTAAATTTGGTTTTGTTACAGGAGTGCTGGTAGTGATCCTAGAAGCTAAGAAAGGTGTATTCAAGAAGCTGGGACTTCTTGCTAACAGTGAAGTGAAACATAGCAAACAAAAGCTGCTTTTTTATTAGTAGAGGTACAGGCATTACTTGCCAAGTAATTGCTCCTGTAACTGCATGAACTGCATCCAAGTCAAGATTCTTAGTCTTGGTAAACTGAATGCAGTCAGTCCTGTTTAATGCTTGTTGCTAATAGCTCAGATTAATGTGGGATACATCTCTTAAATTTAATGCCCAGTTGTGTTTATGTATGTCCGCTTAGAAAAGAATCTTAAAAAAAAAATTAAAGAAAATCTACCAAAGTGTTGTTAACCTCCCAGTCAGGTCCTCTCTCTTTGGAATGTTATTCCTGGCTAGGTGGAAACATGAGAGATCTAGAACTGGCTCAGCAGCTCCAAACTGAAGAAGATAAATGGCAGAAATCAGAAGAAGAGAAGCAAGAGAGGGAAGAATTTAAAAAGCTGCAGGTACAGTCATGTTTTTAAATGGTAAACTGGTGAACAGTTGTGCCATTAGAAGCTGATGTGCCTATGTTGGAGCTGTAATGACCAGGAATTGTCATGCCAGGTCAGACCTGTGCAGTGAGACAGGCTGTTGAAGTAGTGACGCAGGTCTGGCTACAGGCAGATATAAGCTTCTCAGCAATGCTGATGCTTGCCTTGAGCTACTTGAGTTTACTGCTTTGAGTGATGATGGCTTGGGATGGGGTTGGATGCGCATAGGGCATGCTGTACTGCTCCCACTGAGGGCCTCAGCAGGCCTGCTGCCTCATACTGTACTCTGCCTTGCAGGGCAGCCTGGAGCATGTTGCCTGGCAGAGCGCTTGAAAGCCCTCAGCATGCTCTTCTGGATACCATCACCTGCTCCAGTGACCATTCCCTGCTAGGTCTTGCTTTCCTCTATCCCACCTGACAGCCTTTATAGCTCATTCCCCAGTCTCGCTACCTCCTGGCCATTCACTGCCTCTGTGCCAATGGAGCAGAGGGATGTTCCTCTAGGTGTGGCTTTCCTATTCCCACATTCCTGTTCAGGACCAAAGCCTGGCAAGCTCTAAAACATAAATCTGAAGTTTCTGTGTCTCACTGTTCACTGCTTTTCAAAGTTACTGATTGTTCACGCAGCTTTTCAAAATCAGTAAAGGCTCATTTAAAAAAATGTGATTTAAGTCATGCACATTCTGTCCCTAACAGAGACAGTACGGGTTAGATAATTCTGGAGGCTACAAGCAGCAATTCCTAAAGAATATGGAAAGAGAAGTTGATAGAGGAAGAATGCAACCTTTTGATTATCACAAGAGGAAAGCTGACATGATGGAAAGTTTGGCTTTTGGTATAGATGATGGGAAAACAAAAACCTCAGGTAAAAATGCTGGAATTGTACAATTAAGACTGTACTTTTTAGACCTTGGTTGTAGTGGTCAAACTTGCCTTAAAGAAAGCATATAATTGAATGTTTAATATTAGTTGTATCCTAGTTCTAATCCTGATTTTCTAGATCAATCTATACTATCTTAGTCCTAAACTAATAAGGAAGTTGAAGCTTAGTGTATTTCTAATTTTTATTCTAATGTGAAGACTTTTTTCATCTTCTTTTTCCTGTGGAACCTTGGAACTATGTTGTTTGGTTAAGAGCGCAAATACAAAAAGTACCAAAAGATGCAAATGTCTTATTGCAAGTTGGTTGTCCTTGAGTGTGTGCTTGTTTTCTACTTGCTACTCACTGGTCCCTGACTTAATGTAGCGGTTAAAATTTACAGTTGCTTTTTGTCTTATTTCATTTAATTGTAATAACATGTTGGTGGGTCCCAGGTAAACACAGTGTTTGATTACAAAGTCCAGGAGAGTGCTGGGAGGAGTAGGTATCTACTTGATACATCTTCCTTGAAATGTTTTATAATTGGTACAAATATACAGAGCCAATGGATTTCTTGGTCCCTTTCAAAAGGCTTGCTTGTCTTTACTTAACCAAGACCACAGTTCAGATGTCTTTTAGCGTATTGCTAGTTGTTCTAGCTTACAAAATACCCATCTGGTTCTTGACAGGTAAAATAAAATTTCCTCTATAAAATGTATTGAGTGGAAATAATAGATTTAAAGCTTTCATTCTTGGCAGTGATTTAGACTTCAGAGAGGAATTCAGAAAATAACCTGTGGCTGTGAAACAATTGTCTTCACAGTAGCATGGCAATAAAGGGCTTTTGAGAATTTACATTTACAAATTGGAGAGAGCATTCCCAGGTGTGTTCTTTCACGTAACACAAGAGGATTTGGAATATCCTGCAAGTGGATTTTAAAAACGATATTTGCAGTAATTCTCAAATTCTCTACCATTTTTTTCATGCCTTAGTTTCTTCAAGAAAGTTTCTCCAAGTTTGTGGGAAGTATAAGAATTACGTAGTATGCGTGAGTATTTCCATGGTTTTAAGAGGAGCTTGCATTGGAGGTGGCAGCAGCATAGGAATGCTCTATTGGTGATGATATTTTTCCTATTTCACTGTAATAGTCCCTATGTGTATCACAGCTTATAATGTAGTCCAAGCTGTTTAATTTAAAATACTCATTGTGTAAGAGCAGTGAAAAAGTAACTTGAATTTTGAAAGCTTTATAGTGCATGAATTCATCAAAATAAAGACCATCAAAATGAAATAGGTGTAATGTCCACAGGTTTTGAGATTTGAGTTCTAGATATAATGTAAGATCACTTAGAAATTTTGAAATTGTCTTAACCTGTAGCTGTTCCAAGCTGGGGAAAAACGTTTTCATGGCAAACTTTGTAGTTCATTTTACAGATAAACTTTGTATTTCATCTTCTTTTAGGAATCATTGAAGCATTGTGCAAGTACTATCAGAATGAAAACAAAGATGTGAGGCGTGTATGGCTTTCAGCAAGAGTAGATCACTTCCACTCATCTTTGGGCGACAGAGGCTGGGGTTGTGGTTACAGGAATTTCCAAATGCTCCTTTCCTCACTGTTGCAAAACAGCTTGTATAATGACTGCTTGAGAGGTATTAAACAAAATGCTGCCTACTCCTTTCATGTGCTCTGGATGACAACCTACTGATTAATGTTTTGCCATTTCATTTACACAGCAAGGCATACTAGGTCAATGATACCTATTAAATGCTTGTTATACAACTGTAGCTTCCTGTGGAAAGATTCAGAGGGGTGAATACTGGCAAGGCATGATGTGGTTGAAGTTTTAGCTTTAGGTTTGTTTAGGTGCATTTTTGTAACAGCAACTGCCTCTTATAAAAGAAGCTGAACGTTTTTAATAGACTATTTCAGTAACTGTAACCACCATTCAAAACCTTTTCTGTTCCAGATACTACAGCAATTCCTTGTATACCGAAGATTCAGTCCATGATTGAAGATGCCTGGAGAGAAGGCTTTGATCCTCATGGGGCATCTCACTTCAACAACAGATTACATGGCTCAAAAGCATGGATAGGAGCATGTGAAATTTATTCACTGTTAACCAGTCTAAGGATAAAGTAAGTAAGGTCAGAATTGCCAACTGTGGGATTACAAAGCCAACTTTATGGCTTTAAATTTAAGCAACCTATAAACAGATCTGATTTTGCACAACGTAAAGCTGTGTAACTGCTTATGCGGGTACATAAACTGAATAACTACTTAGATCTTTGAAACTTGGTGAAGAATTACACCACATGCATAAAATCAAACATGTTTAAAAACTTTATTTCTCTAGAAGAATCTGAATTTCAGCTATTCATGAATATAATTTTGAAAACTGTTAATTGGATTCTGTAGCGTATGTGTATCACAATATTTTTTTGTTATGAAATAAATATTCCAGGTTTGAACAGTATATATTGCATCACTTTGTGTGTCCCCTGCTTCTGTATTTAAAAAGAAAAAAGGGGAAAAGTGTTAACAGCCACTTGATGGCTGGAATTGCTGTGTTTAGAAAACTTTCTTGGTGCAGAAGGAATTGAGAGGCGAGAAATGGTTTTAACAAACAACCTACTTGAAATCTTATTGTTGCTTTCCTTCTAAATGCTCTGTAGGTGTCAAATCATTGACTTTCACAAACCAACAGGCCCTACAGGTACACACCCTCGTTTATTTGAATGGGTTTTGCATTACTATTCTGCAGATAATGGAAGTGGTGCAAAGGTAGTGTGTACTTCCAAGCCACCCATCTACTTGCAACATGAAGGTCAGTATCACAATACACTGGTTTCTTCCTATTCTGTATCTTTTTTTATATGTGCTGCAAATCAGAGCAACATTTTATTTTCCTTCATCATTTAATTGAAGGCATGACTTTATTTCCTTTTTTTTAAATTTTACTTAGTAAGAACAACATTAGTGCTTGTATTTTTATAGGATGAAAGAGCTGGATGTAATTGGGATCTCAACTTTTTTGACATCTGCTGTTTACTTATAATGATCTTATTAAATTTCAAGTAATGTCTTTTTTGATCTGAAAATAAGTAGTATGCTATGAAGAAGAAAATGGGATGTATGTGTTTTCAAAATACTGAGTCTTGATATTTTGAAATTAGGTCATAGTCGTACTGTTGTTGGAATAGAAGAGAAGAAGAATAAAACCTTATGTTTGCTACTGTTTGATCCGGGATGTCCTTCCCAAGAAATGCAGAAACTGCTAGAACAAAACAGTGATGGTACTAGTCTCAAACTACTTCGGAAATACCTGGGTAGCTTAAAAGAAAAACAATATCAGATAGTGGCTGTAGATGGTGTACTTGCCTTGGAAGAGAAGGCTGTAAGTATTTCAGAAAATGGTTTCTATCTAAGAAAATGAGAAAGAATCTACATCTCTTCTTTAATATGCATATATGGTTTCATGGTGGTATTTTTTTATCTCTTCACTTTCCTTGCTCTTTGCCACTTTCTACTTATTTGTGAATTGAGTAATCACAGGCTATCAAAACCAAAAATTGTTTTTCATGTAAATGCATGCCACTTTGATGTAACTGACAACTTCAAAGTCTTTTATGTGGCTTGCAGATGTTTGCAGATGTAAATTAGGTTTTTCTTTCATTTTTGTTACAGGGTTTTCTTCTGAATAACTTATTGTGAACATAGAAGGTATTTCCAGAGTACTCATAGTCCAGAATTACGTTCAGGGGTTTTTACTGTGACTTTGTAAAGCTATGGGGTGTCTGTCAGCCTTTGATAGTTGAAGAGTGAGGCTCACAGAAACTGAAGCTTAACCATCCCACGTCTCCTCAGCTTGGACACTATAACTAGTGCATTCTACTTTCTGAAAGTACTTAGATATTTATATATTCAGAACACAGATCTGAGCAACTTATATGTTTGAGCTGTTGGCATTTTAATAAATCTTACCCACATGTTTCACTTTAGGCATCATAGCTTTTTAAGACTTTGGAAGTCTTCAGATGAATGTGAGATATAATTTTTGTTTCTTAAGCTTTCTCTTTCTTACACTAACAAATTGATACTGAGGACCCATGTTCCAGTTCTGTGGTGTCTTCTCAGCACTATTCATCATATTCTAGCACTAGCTTCAGGATGGACGTCTGTTTAAACTGTGAAGTAACTGATGACTGTGTTACCTACTCAACTGTCTTTAATGCCTGTATATTAAAATGAGGTATTAAGTGTTTTCTGGTCCTGAACATGTAAGGAATATCAGTTAAACACAACCATCCTCTCTTCCTTCTATTGGCAAAAGCTTTAAAATTCAGAAAACAGTAAAAAGAAGAGTATTGTATGGGATTTGGGGGTGGGGGTGGTGGTGTTTGGTTTTTGGTGTTTTCCTCTTTTCAAAGATTTGATTTATATTTAAAAATACCAGTTCTTTGGAATTTTGTCTTGAAAGCTCCCATTTAATTATGATGAAATATAACCTCTTATATTAGTTAAGCTTACAAAACTATTAATTTGGAAAATGTTCTTTAAAGCGGTATTTCTGTTCATTAAACTATTCTCTTTCCACCTTTTTTTAGGCCCGCTGCCATGCTTCTCAGGTCTTAACATCAGAGAAGATTCCTTAAAGGATGCCTTTATTACCTATTTCTGCAATTTGCTGGATGCAAAACATGAAACTTCTGGACTGTGACCCTATCTCCATGATTTTAGACTTAAACTATGTCTCCATAAATGCCTGGGGTCTCTGGAGAAGCACAGCACTGGAGTAGACCTGTTGTTTTGATCTGCAGTCAAAGCTCTGCCCTCTTGATGACTCTGTAACTCTGAAGTATAATAGTGCTTGTCTTAAAAGAAAATTTGGTATTTTCTTTGTTGCTTAAATTACCAAGCAACACCTACCATTCCATAGCAGACTATGCACCACAGGTAACTGCCAGTAAGCAGTGGGTAGATACCGTGGAACTACTTTATTGGAGTACTAGGTCATGGTTTACCTCTGTAAATATATTTATGCTGCCTCTGTGGCCAGTGCTCTATTTCTTAACCAAATTTGATCAACAAATATCTATTATGCCTCAGCAAATTTTCCTGCAGCTATTTGCAAGTACAGAGACAGTTTAGAGATTTCACAATACAATATGTTCCACAAAGGATTAGTTTGCTACTGAACTTCTTTTCAGTTAGTTAGCTGGTTCCTCTGCATACATATGTCACATGTAAACATGAATGTGTGCTTATGGGGTGGATCAGTGTTCGCATTGGCTGTGAGGTCTAAGGTAGTGGTGTCCAAAATGTGGGGTACATGTGCTGTAGGGGCTGCACAAGGCAATCCACTGAGGTATAGTGGGGTATAGTATCCTTTTTTAATTTCTGGTTTTGTTTATGTTTTATAATGTACATCCCCCTAGGTCTCAGAGACATCTCAAAAGGATGTGTGAACTGATTGTCAAGTAGAGTCTTCATTGTGCAGGGTTAATGCCATTTAAGAGACTGCAGCTATCTGCTGAAACAAGTATCTTGGGCATTTGAGGCACCCTGCTATATCTAAGACATGCTGCTCTGGCAGATTGTAAGCATCATCCCTCACCAGCAGGGCAGCTGGAGGCTGGGAAGGATGGTTGAGTCTGTTGCAGATAGCACAGGATGCCTTTGTGTAAGCAACTGAATCATGCCATAGCATCTGTTTACTGTAACTAGAGCTTAGATACTTACCTTTTCATTTAGACTCTTGCATGTTAACATCTAGGTGTAGGTGTAGGAGTCTTACCATTGACCTGCTTCTGCCATGTTTAATATACTTTGGCAATAAGAACCAGTAGTTTTTGAAAGTATGAAACACATGAACATATAAAGGTATTACAGCCCATAAATCAGGAATTTTTCTGAAACATGCATGAAAGAAAAAATTAAAATATGAAAGTGGATTAATTTCAGTAGATATGTAAAAGTGGCCTTTAACCTGTGAAAGAATTAAATATTCAGAACACTAGAGGAGCTGAGACTAGGAATATAGTTTCTGGGAATTGGGAGACCATTAGCTGCCATATTAGCCCTGCTCTATGTGCATATGTTCTTAGGCCATGTCAAGTTTGGCAGCCATGTGATCATTTAACGTCTTGCAGATAGACTTCAGTCTTCTCTGTACTGTTCCTTCACCTCCCCTGTGATTGGGGCTGAGTCTGTACCTGGCTAAGGCTCTGCTAATTCCAGACCAAGCGTGCTCTTTACTAATCTGACACTGTGCCCAGATATTTAAGCCTTAAGAAGCAGGAATTGTAGCTCAGCACCAGCTCTTCATTTCAGCACTTCACAGCCTGCCACTGGGACTTAGCCGGTGTTTCAATGAAATGCCGTAATGTGCCAAATTTGAAATAATCTCTTTGTACTGGCTTGTGCATGCTGTTTGATTCCTGTGTAATCACTGCAGAGCAGGTAGACTGTAAGTGAGCAGGAGAGTGAAAATCTTGTTTGATCCAGCTGAAGATGCCATTACAAGGGCTGTTGTGATGGCAATTCCTGGCACCTACTGGACAGAAACCAACCACTTGAGATACTTGGTTCTTTGTGTAAGCATGACTTTATGCCAAAATCCTAATAAATTTTATTGTGTTTGTTTTTTTTCCTTTTTGTTTTATGTTTTTTGGTTGGTTGGTGGGTTGTTGTGTTTTATTTGCTTAACAAGTGCTTTGGGAGTGTCAGAGCAACACAGGCCTAATTACACATTTATAAAGGTCAGTTCATGGAGTCTCTATTCTTTCAGCTTGACCCCAGGAATGCCATGTAAAGGTCCAAACACCCAAGGTAATCATGGTATAACAAGCAATAGTCCTTTTAGGGCATTGCAGCTGGTGCAGGGTAGTGGGGTAGCTTTCAAACATTAGCTGGGCACCAGTGGAAAGAAAGCAGTAGGGTAATGAAACATATAAATAACCTGAAAGAGACCCAGAACTTCACTTCCATTGCTACCAAAAGTTTGCCCTGAGCAAGATTGCATTTAGACTTGATGCTAACTAAATTAACTGTTGCCTCTTGCCAGACCGGGTTCACAAAAGCTGAACTTTTCATAATCTTTGTCAGAGAAACAACAGGATGCTGTTTGGATCTATTCCCAAGATCCTGAATATTTGATTAACTGAGGGGTGAAGACACTGACTGTGGTAATGAAATTCCAAGATGGACTTTGATCGACTTCCTAGCAGGCAGGCCAAGAGAAGGAGCAATACACTTCTAATCAGAAGTAAATCACAGACTTGTCGTTGCTGGGGCTCCTAGCTGCTCGTGTTCAGCTGCAAGCTGTATTTTCTGAAAACAGTGCAAGAGTGTCTGCAGCCCTACACAAGGCAGAGCACAAACTGATGAATGAAAAGCCTTCTGATTCTGCTATATAGCGAGTGCTGATGCAGTTTATTCTTTATGTGGATTAACTCTGAGAAAAGCTTCCGGTGATTATTGTGATAATAAACTTGGGTTTGCCAGAAGCCTTAACTGTTCTACCATGATTCTGAAAATGTGTTCATTTCTCCTTTGGAACAGTGTCACAGCTGTGTAAATTCAAATTTGAGGGACAAAATATTTCACTTTTTTTTTTCTATTTATATTCAATTTAATTTATATGTGATTTATCAAAATACTTTTTTTATATATACCATGATATTAACTTACAAGGACTATAATGTGAACATTGTTGAAGTCATCCATCTACTTCTAGTATGCTAGTCATATTCTAGTAATTCTAGTGTTTAATTCATATTGCTTTATATATGTTCTTAGTTGAAGGTTCCAGTGAAAAATGTGTATTCTGGTGACCCTAGGTTTTTCTCACAGAAAGTCTTAACACATGCTAATTATTCTCTTGGGCTATATGACAGTGGATTTCACTGCACTCTCCAGCTCTGAAAGGGACTGAATGCACTTTCCTGAAAGGCGAAGGTGAGTTTTAAACCCTTATCCCTGTTTCCTGCTATGTTGTCTACATGATCAAACCATGGTGAGACTGAATACTTTTGATTGGTATTGAATCAGTGTCCTACAACCAGCCACAGCAGGATATGATGCCTAACTTAAAAACGTTTCAAACAATCATTTTGATTTCACAAAAGACATCTAACCTTGGCTTTCCCATTTTTATTTTTTATTGGGTAAAGTATCATTCCAGTTAACATAACTTGTTTGCTTCTTTCACTGATCCTAAGGGACCAGCTCTTATTGTCAATCCACCTATTTTAGCCTTCTGATACATTTTATTTGCTTTTTTCCTTGACAGAATTACTTCATGCACTGCACAGTTAGCTGCTTGTATTAGGCAAAGGTGACCTCATATGATTAGCCTGTAAGAATGTTTCCATGTCCTTCAACGATACAGCCAGATCATCTTTCCTTTTGGAACTATGCATCTCCCATACCAAGGAAATAAGCTACAATCCCCCATTCCCTCCTTCCCCCCTGTCGTATGTGGCTTATATAACCAGTGCAACCCCTCGCCTCTGAGTTTGAACTTCCCACAAGGGGACCAGAGACCTGAAGGGAAGGAAAAAGCAAAATCAGGCACATAACCTTTAGGTTTTCTTTGCTTTAAAGCAGATCATAATGCAATCTTAATTTGGATGTAAAATCCTAGGCTTTGCAGCATGCCTGACATTGTATTCCTACAGCATCTTGACATGATGGGCACCATCCTCTGGATTTAGTAGAGTTTAGGCACAGACTATTCAAAAGTTCAGCATGATCAAAAACTAAGCTCTGCTCATAGTGCAGTGTCACAACTCAAAACAGTCTCCCTAGCGTATGCTTTGGACTCAGGGAGTTAAAAGCAAGATAGAAGCAAAATTGTCAGCAGCATGATTTTGAATTACTAAAATTCAATCAAAGATTATCAATGTAATTTTATTAATACGAATTTGACTTTAATCCAAAGTGCATGAGTAAACTTTACATATTTCTCCTAAACTTCTTCCACCAAAAACCCTCAGTCCACTACAGCAAACGAAAACACGCAAATACAGCCAAGCTTACTCTCAGTCAAATTCACTTTTATTTCACAGATGTTAATTGCTAACAAAGCTAAACAAATCTGAAGCTCAGATTCAGTCATTGAAACTTGTTCCAAAGACTTGGAGGAATGGAGTTTACCCATTTTTATCTTTTTTTGTCACTTCAACCGTTATTTCCTCTGCTTTGAAATACAAGATGTAACAGTGAAAACACAGTTTCAGATTTTAACTTGTTTTGACGTAATTTTAAGTTTTAAGCTATACATCCTCTGCATGAAACTCAATAAATATGTTAGTGTGAAAACAGACTAGAAAAATCTCATTAATCTAGAAATACCATTAACAAGAAAATTTCTTTCATAAATAGATGATTCTTGTCCGTGACCCACTCAAAAAATATTCTCAGATTATCACATTTTGCACAGATTACACAGCATTCTTGGATTCAGTCCAGATATAAAGAGAATCAGTTTACCCTTTTTATAAAAAAATGCCAGTTTTAAACATACATAGCTGATAAATGGAAAGCAGCCTTGGGAGCTGAATGTTTTTTATGCAACTGAATTGAGACATACCAGAAGTAAATTAATTTCAGTGCTGAAGAGCATTTTAAAGCATTCTAGCAATTACACAGGAAGCTGGATGTAGTCACTATGAAGCTTTCAAACCAACTGTATCTTTGGAAAAGTCAGATTTAATACCACATTAGCTCACATTTTAATATATTTGGTAACTCTGCTGGAACACAGATCCTGCTTATTGCTTTGAAACATTCATTATCACTGAAATCTAGATGCTCGTCTAGAGTTCTTCATAGCCAAAAATAAAAAGATAAAATAGAGGACAGTAGGGACAAAGGCACATGGTTAATTTATAAAAGTATTTACAGGGTACTTTAACATTTATTTCTCTCTACTAGAATACAAAGAGAAAAGACTACTGAAACATGTTGAAGATCATCCGAAACGGGTGTTCTCCAGCTATCTGAGCAGAGGATCTTATACACCATTATTTCCAGAATAATATTCCTTGTTTTGAATATGGAATTCCCAAATATTAAAGTTCATAAATTTATTATTCCCCTAAGCACTGTGATACTTTAGTGCAACCCTCTTCAATGGTTGAAGCTGGCATAGTTAAGGCAGTCTACAAACAGTATTTTAAATTCAGCGCACAGTGTTTAATCATTGAGGTGCGTGGTCCTTCTCTGTATGGAAAGCTGTCTTCTGAAACCCTCATCCATGCTGTAATCCTTCTACCTGATGCAGCCTCAAACACAGCATTTAAACACACAATTCTCGCAGTGTTTGGGGGGTTTTTTTGGACGTGGGATGGGAGGAGGAGTCTAACACCAAGCTAGTAGCTCCATAAGCAACTCAGTAGGGTGGTTAACATTGCTGAATTGTTTAGTACCCTCACTGTACATTGGCAACCTGTAAAGATTAGCACAACAAGATGCTTTTAAAACATCCATTACATTCAAATCTATAAGCACCCCATAAATCCTGGTACCATAATCTGCACTCCACTAAAGGGTATTTTAGCACAGTCTGTTACCAAAAGCAAATCAACTTTCCTAAGGCATTTCGCCCCACCATGAAGTTCACTGATGCACAAGTTCAAAAATCCCAATAAGAGGACTTAATCTCATTCCGTTTTTTCCCCCCCTACAGACTTAAAGTTAGCATTTTAAACTTAAACATTTTGAAACTGTTACTCTCAACTATGGCAAAAGATTTTACTTTAGTAGTATGGAAATAGTTTCCATTAAACTTTAAAGGCTATGTCTTATTAAACGGTGACTACTGCTGCCTAGCTACAGCCAATAGGTGAGGGCACCAGAACTTAAGTAAGTTCTATAAAATTTCACAGAAGAAAAAAAAAAAGAAAAATAAAAAATAACTGCATAGTATGCAATCCCTTTTTATTCATCAAAGCTGTCCATGTATATCCCAGGGTGGAAGACAGCAGAACAGCTGCTCAGCCTTCAGATGCACGTGTGTTTAGTGCTTGCTATAACATCTTTCTATCTTGCTTGTTGTCAAATCTCTTCAAACGATAAGTACAGAAGTGGGAAGGAAAAGATACAGGAAAATAGAATAGCATTTTCAGAAAGGTCAATGTCCCTCAAAGTTCTCATTTGAAATATTACTATAAATTTATTTATGATGAGAGTCATCAGAAGACCATTCTTCTGGGTTTAAAATATTTTTTTCTTTGAAAAAAAGTAAACAAAAAGAAAACCGATCCACATTACTAAATCCACAGATGCTGTGGTTTTCCTGCCTGCCCCTCTCTCCTTACGTATGTCCATACTGATGACAGAGCCAGTTCAGAAAAGTCTAATCACTATCTAAATTAACAGGGTTGTAGTCAGGGTCATCCTCTTCATCCTCCAACTCTAGATCATCCATTTCTTGGAATAAAGATTCATCAACCTCCACGCTGTTTCCAGCTGCAAAGAACAGAAAAATAATTTATTTTAATGCAAGTAGGAAAACAGCACCTCAACAACAAAATACACAACAGTTTTTTCACACTCAGACTGCAATGTCAGTAACTATTAACTTACTTGGGCTTTTATATATCAAATGGATATAGAAAAGGAAACAGCACATTTTATCTCT